AGCTTCTTTGTCTTGTGACTCAAGCGCAGGGAGAGCGGTGGCTGGGTGAGTCATGGGCTGCATGAAGTCTCTGTGGTGGGATCTGCGTTCTTTGGCTGGTGGACACCAGCTCACTGTGGAAGAGATTTCCCGTCTGCTGGTCCAGCAGTGGCTTGCATTGCTTACAAAGAGGAATCACAGCGTTAGTCACAACCACTTCACTTGCAATTCAGACTTTTAGGTTTTGCCTATGCGTTACCCCTCACAAATCCCAAAGTTATGGTAGAACCCTAACTTCTCTCTTATCCCCAGGTGCGTTATTGCATCCCCTCTGATTATAGATGCACTCTTTGTGGGTGTCAGACCAACTTCTGCAGTTGTTCTCCTGCCTACCCTGGAGCTCTGAGCTGTTACCTGGTACATGGTGGAGCCTTGGTGAACCACCTAGGTACCATCCATCACTCCAGGGGATGGTTCACAAGGTGCTCTGGCAGATTTTAGCCAAACAGCTCCTCCTGGCTTTTGGCCCCTGTACCCAAATATAGCTCGCCCTACCAAAACCCTGTCCCTGCCTTCACTTAGGGTGCACTGCCTGCCAAAAACTCTGGCTCCTGTTCCCCTGATGGCGGTTGGTCACTGGGCACAACATCCACATGGCTCTGCACGGCCTTCCCTTCCTCGCCAGGCTCAGACCGTCTGCATTTCACCTGAATCAACACCTGAATTTCTGTACAAGCTCCTGTTCGTCCAGGTTGCATCTTGGAGCATTTCTAAGAGCTGTGACCTATCTTGCTGCATGGAGGACAGGCTGGCAGGGTCTGCACCAGCCAACATCTGGATTGACTTTTTCATCCTCTTTCTGTTTGTTTTTCCAAAAATGAAGGGAAAAACGGGGTTAAGTCAGTGAGGGCATGGCTAGAGTGGGGTCAGTGGTATTGAATGGGTCTGAAATGTTGGAGATCAGCACCAGTCCATGACAAAGAGAGGAGAACTGAGGCTGGAGGTGCAGGCAGTACAATGCAAGCTGGAAATACAGCTGGGAGAGAGGAGGGAAGGGATTTTGACCCATCCTGCCCCCATTCCAGGTTTCGTGTCACACACATTGGGAAGAAACCCACTTTCCACGAGCAGCAGGACGGTCCCATGCCTGATGGCAGCCGGGAGCCAAGCACGGAGGAACTGGAGCACAGCAGCGACCGGCTCCAGCGGGAGCGGGCTCACAATGGGACTGTCCCCGCGGGTGGCCTGCAGAATGGAGCCGTCCAGAAGGGTGCCCAGAGCAGCAAGGGTGGGGAGCAGAGCCGGTCCAGCACCCCAGCCCCGAACACACCAGCCAGCTCCGGCACTCGCGACAGCAGGCGGGCGGGCAAGGGGTCCGGTGTGGCAGGCTCGCTACAGGATGCTGGCACTGCTCCCGGGAGCGTGAGCCGCCAGAGGAAGCTCCTGAGCCATCAGGTGCTGGGAGGGTCAAGTCCCAGCATCCCGGGAGAGCTGGTGCAGGAAGGAGCCAGCATCTGCCTGGAGGAGACTGGACTGGGGTCGGCAGATGAAGTGTCGGATATTCACGGGAGCCTGAGTCTGCACGAACAGGCTGATGAGTTGGGAAGAGACGACAGCAGCAGAAAACAGCCTGGAGCAGAGGAGATGGGGCAGCAGGTAGGTTCCTCCTCTTCCTTGTCCCTGTGTGGTCCCCTGGGATGCAGGGTTTGAAGGGTTGTGGCACAGCACTCCAAGCCCTGCTGCCGACAAGATCAACCAGCCCAAGCGCGGTGGCATGAGCTGTGCAGCAGGGACAGGCGAGCTGAGGCTTGCGCCAGGCTGACTGTGGTGTGGGACCTGCCCTGTCCTGCTCACCCTGTTTCTGCTTACCTTTTTTGATTGCATTTTCCCACCTGTTTTCTGATGTCTGGGGCATGCAGAGTCACTGTGACAGTTCCCACCTTGCTGGTACCCATGCTGCAGGGGAAAAGGCAGGTCACTGGTTGACTTGCATGGGGGATGCTGCAGACCCACTGCCAGCTGCCCCTTGGGCAAAGGATGCATTTTCCTTTGTGGTTGCGCTCTTTGGGGACATCCATTGGGATCACTTTTTCTTGACCTGGGGGAGGGAGCTCTGCCGCTGCCCATAGCTTGGTCTCTCCAAAACTGTAGCCTCACTGCAGTGCTGGGGCTTAACATGGGGCTTAGCAATGTACCGGCAGGCACAGGTGTCTCCAGGAGCCTTTCTTGCCTTGAAGTCTAGGAAATGGTGAAGCCAACTGGTCATTTCTTGGTTGTTCTTCCCTGCTCCAGAGGGGGTGATGCTGGCTGTGCTCAGAAAGGAGGACAGCCTACCCTGGCTGGAGCTCCCAGTACCCAACCTTCCCACCCGAACACCTTGCTGGAGGTGCTAGAGAGCTCCAGGGCAGCACTGGCGAGGACACCATTTGCTTGGCCATCAACGGCCCCTGATTTGGGGGATTTGCTCCCTGCCACTGCCTCTGGGCTGTTACCACTGAGCAAATGATGCTGTTGGTGGTGGTAGCAGACACCCAACGTGTTCACTCACTCACGTGCTCACCCGTGGATCTGCAGTTGGGGAAAGACGATTTTCATGGAAGGGGGCTGGGGGAAGGCACCTGGTGCGATGTCACCCCACCAGGGCTGCCTGCGTCGAGCAGCCCCAAGAGCTGGCCTTGGCTCACCCCACAAAACCAGCACTGGGGCACATGTGGCAAAGCCCTTGGAAGAAAAAGGAAGCGAACCGTCTGGGGAAAAATCTCAGCGTGCTTCAAAGCCAGGGACATTCCCTGGGGCTGGCTCTGCTGGAGCTCCACGGGCCGGGCATGGCACGTGCCAGAAGCCCTTGGCAGGGCGGTGGGATGGGGCAGGACTGGGTCAGTGTGGGAGAGCCCGGGGAAGGGTGCCTAGCTGAGCGTAGGCTAAGGAAAAAGCAGGAACCCGCTGTGTTTATTGTTTCCCTCTTTGCTTTCTGGTGGCTTGGCTGGACGGTTTGAGCCGTTTTGTGGAGAAGGGCAGCCCATGGCAGCCACGCAGGACAGAGCTGATGGGCTGTAGCCCTTCTCCAGAGACCTGGAGAGGTGGCGACAGGTCCTCCTTCCTCCCATGGCCCACTACGCCTTGGGCAATGGCTGTGGTCCCTCTAACTGGGGAAGCAGTTACGTGCAGGGCAAGCCCAGGGACATGGTGATTTTCCCCCTTTTCATCTGTCCTCTCTGTGGTGTCAGGCTCTTGCCTTGCACCCTGCACCAGGCTTTGGCATGCTCCACGACACGGGGTCCCAGGAGAATGGTGATGGGACCTCACTGGGACGTTTGTCACCAAGCCCTGGCACCATTCGGATACTCCCTCATCCCCTAGGTCCCAGCCAGGGCCACCATGAGGGTCGTTAGCTGCTGCTCAACATGTCCTGCAGGTGATGAGGAAGGGCAGAGAGGTGCTGCTCAGGCTGTAGTCAGCTCCTGGAGCCTCGGCGGGCTTCTGCCCACTAGCCCATGGGTCACTGCTGTGGCCAATGGAGACCCGGCCCCCCACCCCAGCACCCCATTCCCATGGGAGCACTGACATCCACATCTCTCCTCCATCCCCCAGGGGACCAGAACCGCAGTGCAGGACCGAGGAGCAACCGTGTGACGTGAGTGCTCATCCCCAGCCCCTGGGGCAATGTCCGGGGTGGGGTGGGAAGGCACTGGCAGTGTCCCTGCCCTGGTGGGTCACAGCCTGGTGATGGAGACAGGGTGAACCCCTTCTCCAGGAGGGTCGGTTCCCAATGCATCGGATCTTGCACGGGCAGGTCCTCTTGCCCACATGCCCAGCCACAGGCAGTGATGCCAGTGGGCAGCCGTGACAGCTCCGGGCAGACACAGGGCCAGGACAGCCTGGTCGCGGCTGGCAGGTGATGCCACAACCATGGGGGCGAGCCCCATCCTGCCCCTCTCCCCACAGCTCCTCTCTGCTCCCGGCTGGAGCATGGACAGGAGGCGCACGGCCCCCGGCCCCCATGCTGGGCTGGGGGCTCTGCTGTGGGGGGGACCGCGGGGCAGCCGGCCCCGGGCGAGCAGCTACGCGCTTGGCATGGCCGGAGCGACGCGCCGACGTTACAACCACACTCGGTGCCAGACCTCATCCCATTGGCAATAGGTACCCGACTCCCACCTACCGCACCTGCCCTGGAGACCCCTCCCTGGGGGACCCTCGGGCCTGACAGGGGCAGGACAGCACCCAGTCCCTGCTGCCCACCCAGTCCCCGCAGCCCCCAGCGCTGGGGGAAGGATGCATCAGAGGGGGCTGCAGTGAGGGGCAGGGATGGAGGCAGCGGTTCGAGGCCCCCCGGGGCTGGGGGCAGCACCCCCTCACCCACCCGGCACGTTCACCACAGAGCACAGCCCCCCGGGCACCCCTGCCACGCAGAGCGGTCATGGGCACAAATCCTGCACCGGCGAGGGACCCTGCAGGTCCCCAGGAGATGCTGGCGAAGAGAGGAGGCTCCAGCCCCGTCCTGGCACAGGAGGGGCCGGAGCCCGGCCCTGGAGGCAGGATTGCACCCCGGCTGGGCCAGTGGGCAGCCTCGGTGCCCGCAGCGAGCTTTGGTGTGTAACCGCACTGTACATAGACAAGCTAAAACCATTAAAGCTGCTGAACCCCTTGGCAGAGTCAAGTGGCTTTATTGGGGCACAGCCCCCACCTGCCCATGGGGAGAGGCCTGGGGAGCAGGCAGGGCCCCGGGGCTGAGCCCCCCAGGGAACCAGGGCTGCACCGGGGGCGCACGGGCGATGCCAGGTAGAAGGCTGGGTGAGATGGGGCACAGCCATGGTGCTGAGCACCCCGATAAAGGGGCTGCCAGGATGCCCCGTGCTCTATAGGAATGCAAGCAGCGCTGGGCAGGATGCAACCCCTGGAGAGACCAGCTCGGGGTGCGGGGCAGCGCCAACCCCTGCTGCCGGGACAGCAGCCCATGGGGGTGATGGTTCGCTTGGGCGAAGCTTTTTGGGGAGTGGGGAGGGACAGGGGCACCCACAGGGTCAGCTGAAGTGCAGCTCAGGGTCGGGCTCGGGAGCTCTGCAGGGTGGTGGAGGGGGCGCGCGGAGCTGTGGGGAGAGGAGAGGAGATGCTGTGCCGACACGCCGAGGCCGCTCACCCACCCTCCAGACCCCCCCAAAGCACACGAGTGGCACCGTCCCCCGTTACGGGAGGGCTGGGGACAGGTTTGGAGGGGCACAGCATCGCTGTGATGGGGCTTACCGGCCGGAGGCGGGTGGCTGGCAGGTCCGGAGACCTCTGCCCGCTGCCCGTGCCATCCTGCCTGCAACCTGGAAGGGCCTGGCAGCTCAGCTCAGCTCTCCGCATGTCCCCCCAGCCCCTTTCCCAGCCCTCCCGGCACTCACCTCCCAGCGGCGTTTCGGGAGAGGGGCTGGGGGCCAGGCTGGTCCCAGGCACAAGGCTGGGAGGGGAGAAGGGCGGCGGGGACGGTGATGGCAGCTCCTGCGAAGACAGAGCCAAGAAGGGTAGGAACAGCGGGGAGGGCATCCACCCACCAGCAGCCATGGCACAAGATGGGGGGCTGCCCCACACCGAGGGGACGTGGTGACCCTCCCGCCACCGACCTGCTCGGCTGCTCCCTGGCCGCCGGTGAGCTCCTCCACCACCAGGGAGGGGAAGACACCGATGCGGCCGTCAAAGTCGCCCGTCCAGAAGCCATCATCCACCTCGCCAGGGGCACGGGGCAGCACCCGGATGATGGCCCCCTCAGGGAAGCTCAGCTCCTCGGGGCTCTGCCCCTCGTAGTCGTACAGGGCTCGCACCAGCCAGGCTGCAGGGAGGATGGGGTGGGGGGCTTAGTACCCCTGGTGCCGCTGCCGCTGCAGGGGCTCAGCTTCCCCTGGGCACCAGCCCTGCACATCTATTCCCTTCCCCAGGGAAGGTGACACCCTGGCACCCACCTCCGGGCTCCAGCACCAGCTCCGCAGCCATGATGCTGGAGAGCTGGCGGTGCCGGGCAGAGGGTTCTGGGGGGCCAGCCCCGGCCCCTGGCTCACCGCCCAGGGACAGCAGGTACTTTTCAGGGACGTAACCGACCTGGCCCGCCTTGTTCCGAGCCTGAAGGGGCAGAAACTGCATGGCCGTCCCAGCCTCCAGGGCGGGGACAGCTCTGGGGACCTCCGAAATGTGTCCCCCCCCAGCCTGGAGGGGGGACTCAGCCCGCTCCCACCTTCACCCACTCCTCCGCGTCACCGTCCTCGATGACCTCCAGCTCCTCGCCCTGGGTGATGGACAGCTCGTCCGTCTGGCAGCCCTGCAGGGGACAAAGTGCCAGGGAGGCTGGGGGTGCCAGCCCCAGGCAGGCAGGGCGAGGGGCAGGCAGCCGTGGCCGTACCTGGTACCTGAAGATCACCCGGCAGGTGTAGGGGTAGGTGCGGGCAGTGGGGCCGGGCTCGTCGTCCTCATCCGGCTCATCACTGTCCTCGTAGTCGTCGAACTCGGCTGGATCCAGCCCTGCGGGCGCCTGCTTGCCTGCCGCCACCATGGTCCCCGCCAGCCAAGCGTCCACGTCCAGCCCTGCTGCCCGCAGCAGCGCCAGCCGTGCCTCTGCCTTCACCTGGCTGACCTGGGGGAGCCAAGGGGGGACATTGTCAAGGCCTAAGGGGACACCTATGGGGTGGGGGGGACAGCCCAGCCAGCCCCATTGCCCCTGGTCCCCAGTGTGGTTGCCACAGCGGCAGAGCATCCCCAGCGTCACATCCCCAGCCACGCCTCCCCATCCCTGCGTCCCCCACCCTGGGGGTGACAGACCTTGAGGCCACCCCGAGCCTCCTGCCTGGGGGACCCACCTCTGCCTTCCGGAGGTTTTCCCTTGCTTCTTCCATCCGCCGCTCCACGGTGGCCACCTCTGCCTCTGGGACCTGCTGCCGCCTGGCCTCCAGCCACTGCAGCACCTGGGTGGGCACCCGCAGGTCAGCGGGGTGGTGGGAGCTGGGTGGGGTGCAGGGGAAGCCCCTCCTTGAGCTCCCCCATGCTCCGTGGGGAAGGACAGCACCCACCTCCTCGCTGTGCACCTTGTTTTTGTGGTCCCGAGCCACCCGCGTGGCCCATCGCCGTGCCTCCTTCTCCAGGCTGGCCCCGTCATCCTGGCAGCAGGCTGGGTGAGGACAAGGTGGCGTGGCCCAGCCTCCTTCTCCAGGCTGGCCCCGTCGTCCCCCGGTGGCAGCAGGCACACGGCACACACCCCAGCAAGCTGGAAGCGCTGCTCGGGGGCCAGGGCAAAGGCGGGGTGGTCCTGCAGGAAGAGGAGGAGGTCCTGCTCCCGGCACACCTGCAGCAGGGGAGCAGCATGGGACCGGGGGGCTCGTCCGTCCCCTCCTGCCCCCCCCCTTGCCCCCCCTGCTCCCAGGACAGGTTCCTTTACCTGCACGGACGCCTCCGCAACGTCCTCGAACCAGTCCCGCGTGGCCTGGCAGGTCTCCACCTCCGTCCGGCTGGCCGCTGACAAGTGCTCCCGCAGCCGCTCGTAGAGGTCACCATCCAGCGCCTGGGGGAAAGCGGGTGGGAAACCCCCCTGGCACTGCCAGCATCCCTCCGGGGAGCATCCCTGACCCCCCAGGGCAGCCAGCCCTGACCCCACACCAGCGGGACCCTCCCTGCTTCACCCCCTTGCAGTGGCACAGGGGAGATGCTTCTTGCGGGATCCCGGGGAGGGGACGCAGTGGGGGGTCCGGGCAGCTCCTACCTGCATGGCGGCGGGCAGCTCTACCCGCCGGTAATGCTCCAGGTGGGCGGTGGCAGACACCAGGGCGAAGCCGTACTCGTTCTGCACCCCTGCAAGCTGCCTCGAGTGCTCGGCCAACCGTGCCGAGAACTGTGGGGATGGGGAGAGTGGGGCTTGGTGACGGGGTGGGGGCCACCAACCTGTGTCTCCCCTGTGCTTGGGGACCCCGCCGGCCCCCCGCGCTGCTGACCTTGGCGCTGAGTTTTTGCAGGCTGGCCTTGGTGTGAAATATCCTCCGGTCACTCTTCCGGAGCCTGGGGAGGATAGAGGGGGGGACGTGAGACCACCCTGCAGCCACGGCAGCCCCCCGCTGCCGTCCCCTCTGCTCACCGAGCCTCCACGTCGGCTGCCTTGTCCTTGGCCACCTCACTGCTCCGCTGGAGGTGGGTGAACTGCTTCTTCGCCTTGTCCAGCTCCTTCACCGTCTCCAGCAGCTCCGCCTGTGCCTTTTGCAGCTGCTCGATGCCCTGCAGGGAGCGTCAGCTTTTGGGGGGACAGCTGTCCCCACCGCCCGGGCACGGGGGACATGTCCTCGCCCCGGTACCTTCTTGAGCATCTGCTCCTTGGAGAGACGGGCGGTCCGGGCAGCCTCCGCGGCGAGGGTGCGGTAGCTCTCTGAGGCGGTGACACGGACCTGCCCAGCGTGCGCGGTCCCCTCGATGATGCCCTTCCAGACAGCGACCGCGTTCCTGTGGGTGTGGGGGTTAAGACAGGGCAGGGTACTCTCCTGCCTCCCTGCCAGCTTTTGGGGATGCCCGGCAGGACAGCCAGCACCCCCAGCCCCTGCGGTCCCCTTCGAGATGGGTACCACACCCTTGGGGACATCCCACCCAGGACTGCATCCCCGGGACACCTGAATCCTGGTTGGCATTAGGCATCTCCCAGCTGGGAGGGCCACGGACGGGTGCAGCCAGCCCCAGCCCCTTGTCCCCAGCCCTGTCCCCAGCCCACCTCGAGTCGCCAGCCTCGCCCCGGCCCCGTTGCCAGTCTCTCTTCATAAACTGGCTCGCCAGCCTCTGCAGCGCCTGTGGACAGACCCGTCACCACCAGCACTCCCCAACCCTACCAGGCACCCCAGCACCCCGCCGCCCCACTCCAGGGCTGAAACTGGGCTTCCCCACACCAGCTGCCCACCCCACGGGTGTCCCCAGAGCAGGGGACACACACACACCCCACAGTGGCTCGGTGTCAGCAGGGACCCCATTGCCCTCCCTGCAGGAAAACCTTTTGTGGAGTAGCCACCACCACGAGATGACCCCCCCCGCTGCGGCTTTTGGGACAGAGGACTGGCAAGGGGACACCACTGAGGGACACCGGCTGCAGAGGCAGAGTAGAGGAGCCCCCAGCAAAGCCAAGCACAGCATGACCCCAACCCTGGGGGGGACGGTCCCCCCTCCAGCCTGGGGGGGGAAGAGGGAGCAGGGTGGCATGGTGCCTGGCTGCAGGAAGGGGGGATGCATCTCTGCTGCAGGGTGTCCCCAAGGGATGCTGCGGGGACATCTCACGGAGCAAAACCAGGCTCTGACATTTAAGAGCGGAGCCCTGTGATGATCCAGCAGACAGCAGAGCCGGGCGGTTTCCTCCCCTGGCAAGGTTTTCCCTCCGGGCCCCCAAAACACCCGAGGTTCAGGCCATGCTGTGCTCAGCAAAGCACCCCAGCGGGTGCTCTAATGTGGTCGGTCCCCCCCCGGCAGGCAAAATGCTGCGCCCATCCGCCACCGGCCTCCGTGGCTGGCACGGAGCAGCTAAGCCCCGCTTTGCTTGGATAATTTCCAACGCTGCCCGTCGCCTGCGTGGGGCCGTGCCCGGCGCCAGAATACCCCACATAGGGAAGATGCGGCTCGCGT